TAAACGGGGATAGGGGTGGTGTGTGTGTGTGCAGTGGGGAGGCGGGGGTGAATTCCATCTAATTACTCTATCACATAATTTCACAAATTGCCTTTTCATAGGGGAGTGGAGAGCAGAGCACAGGGCGCGTTGGGGATTTGAGGCCTGAGCTTTCATTTACTACTCATTTCTTGTTAAATTAAACAAGAAAATACCATTTGCAAGGAGGGAGGGGTGGGTGAGTGGGGGGGGGGGGGGGGGGGGGGGGGGGGGGGGGGGGGGGGGGGGGGGGGGGGGGGGGGGGGGTGGGGAGGAGGGGGGGGGGGGGGGGGGGGGGGGGGGGGGGGGGGTAGGTGGATTCCATCTGCACCATAGGAGGAATGGAGGAAACAAAGATTGACTATCGCTATTTCTTCATCTCGGTGCTTGTCTCTTTAACACAAAGCAACGAGATAGCTCTGCCAATTATGCAATCCACAACTTTAATTATTTTGTTAAACTGTATATTTTTAGGAAGAAAATCATTGACACACTTCAGGCGAACAATATCTGCAAGTTTAAACACATCCTCACTGATGTTAAGCAGATATCAAGGCGAGTTTATCAATTGGTGCAGAGCATTTTCTCTATCAAATGTCCTCTCCAGGTAGTCAGTGAAACCAGATTACTGCTAGTAGTCACAACAGATGTTTAATTAACAGTGTCAATGGAAAACAAAGATCAAAACGAGATGAGGACACAAGTGGAAAAGCCCTCCCCTGCCCTTTATTTTGGTTCCCCACCAAGTTTACAGCTGCATGTCAAGCTGGCAGCAGGCTGCACGGTCCGGCCATCGGTGACAGGCGGTTAACGCTAATGTTTTGTAGTCGCTCCAAGTCAGAGCAGCCAAATTCTTCCGATGGACTTGTCCCACAAGCGCTGTCGACAACATATGAGCTCATTGGGTGTGTTGGAGAGAAGTCAGCGTGCTGCGACTGTCGTCATCATCACAAATTTAATCCCACTGCTCTATCCGTCACTCTGCTTGTCACACAGCAGATCGAAGCATATTCCCATTTGTTGTTTCTTCATTTTACATTGTCACCCTGCACAGGGGAATATTAACTACACCCAAAGCACTGTGGCTTCGACTCTGGCACTGATAAGACCAGCATTTTATTCAATAACTTTTCTACTGATGGTATCCATGCTAACAATAATCATCACGCACTCTGCTTCACAATCTTTCCCTTTTCCTGCTTGAATAAGACATTCGAAATTAGCAGCCTTGATGGGTAAGTGAGATGCAAAAATGCTTTCAAAACAACAATAAAAAACAGCCATATGAATGCCACCTACCACCTACCCTGCTGGTGCACTCGCAGCCTCAGTTTGCCACCCACCTTCCCCTTCCGCTTCGGTACAATGGGAACTCCCCTGAGGGTCCAAGTGTGAGGGCGAATAACAGAAAACACATCAAGGTGGGTATCCAAACTTCTACCCTGTTCTCCTCCACTGTCTCTCCACTGTTAAATCCTGCACATATTTATACTTGAGAAACAACAGCTCCTGACTCCCTTATTCAGGTTTGTGTAGGGCCACAGCACTCTGCCATAAATCTGTACACAGTACGTGTGTGCGTGCATGCGTCTGTGTGTGCCTAATTGGCATTGTGTCTATCTCTAAGAGGCCAGACTCACATCCTCCATCCCTCTGTGGAACAAAGGGAGCCCAGCTGATGATGCTGCGGATGAGCCTGGATCAGCTGTCCATGTTTATGTTTGTACCAGCGGAGACAGGGAGACATACTGCCGGTGTAAGAGATACTGTAAATGTTTTTGCATTAGAGGTGCTATGTGTAGCATTTATAAACACAGACATATGGTGATTGAATTAATGGTGACACTGAAGAATGATTAGTGTAAACAAATGAGACCACTGCGAGCATTTATCAGACACCAGTGGTATTGTTAATGCCAGTGTTTCTCAAAATTAAGACCACATTTCCCGTAAACAAAGAAGATGTTGCTCCTCTCCGCCTGGGTTTCATTTCTGTTTGGCCTCGCTGGAGAGGGCAGACATATTGGAAGTGATTTTTCCATCAACCTTTCAGTTTACTCCTCAGTTCTGAGCGCTACAGCTCTGTTTGCACGGTGAGAACTTCCTCCTGTTTTGTGCCATAAAGCAATATACCCTATGTGCCATTGTGTGCCTGTATGTGTGCATGCTATAGTTCCTCATTCTCTTTTTTCCTGAGAAGGTGGATGGATCCTCCTTATCCCTCTCTTCACCTCCTCGCCTTCTCCTCCTCTCCCTTGACACTCTCTTATATCCTTCCGACTGTTTGAGATCTAACAGCGCAGAAGCCTCCCATAAGCCCAACTCATGGTGTAATATGACACAGTAGGTGTGTTGCTGTGTGTGTGTGTGAGAGTGTTTCACTAGGCAAGTGAGTGCTGAACTGTATTTCCACAGACAGGATGTGTGTATGTTTCAAACACCTTTCCTCTGTAGCCCCGAAGGTTTCGGGGGGTGTATGGGTTGAGGTCAGGGAGTTGGAGGAGAGGTTAGTGTGTATGTGTGATGATGTGTGTGTGTGTGCGGGGTGATGGAGAGCTGGTGGTTTGTGAAGGTGGTGGGGAGGGTCAGATGGAAAGGGGAGAGCACAAAGAGAAACAAAAAGTATAAGAAGCCTTGTGAGGTGTGTGTGTGTGTGTGTGTGTGTGTGTGTGTGTGTGTGTGTGTGTGAGTATATTCTGTGTTCAGATACACACACTATATTTCTCTGCCAACATGCCACCAATAAAAAAAGTTCCTCCAATTTGTCATTAACACTGTCGGAAACAGAAGAAGACACTGTGTGATGCACACCATCAACATCAACGGTACAAAGCTACATATAAATAAATAAAGAGTGGGGCCCATGCAATATTCACAATCCAAAAACTAAATTACTTTTCCCAGCATCCTCCCTGTTGGCTTGTGCAATTCAAACCAACACCCACTCACTAAACTGTACCGTAGCGCCAGACTCCTGACATAGACAGAAAGCATGTGACGCAAGGCTGGCTGAAGTTAGTTTCGAAACATATTTCCTTGTCATAACACTGAATTCAAATTGTAATCAGGAGTTTTACTCAGCGCAACGATGAACACAGAAAAGATGTCACCATTTCAAGCTGTTTTGAAAACATCTTACTCCTCCTGCAATTCAAGTTTACCCTCATAACCTGGTCACTTGTTGTTTTTAGATTTGATTGTTTTAAATAATTTTTTAAATGTAAACTTTTTGACTTTTTTTCTATTTATTTTACTATTTAAATTACTGAAATAATCATGATGCAAGCAGTAAATTCAGAGGTCTGAAACCTGTTTTACTTAAAATATAAATATATAAGGTAACATTTCAGGCACTTTCAAGTCTCTGGAATATGTTTTTCATGAAACTCAAAGCCAAATTAATTTACTAAATACAATAAAACATTTTTTTTTAGTTATTGTGGTTGTTTGTAAATTCTTTCAACCAGAGAATTTCATTCTAAAATTGCACAGAACATGCGACAAAGCTTAACTAAAAGGTTGAGCATGGGCAAAAAGTAACTGATCATTTTCTCAGATGCAGGTTACTGGGGCCAATCCAAATTCTCAGATGAAACGAGTATCCGGTACGGGTAATGTACTTTTTATGAGTATAAGCTGAGAAAAATGTGTGAATATCCATACTCGTGATGAAGGAAAATCCACATTTGGGTAGCTGCGTTCATTCCCCTAACTTGTTAGAAAATGATCTGAAGCTCAATCCTAAGATCGTTCTCTAAATAGTTTCCTAATAGAATATAAATACAGCAACTCTTGATCAATCCACGTTAGTTTCAGGCTTAAAATATATATATATAAATATATAAATATATAAATATATATCAACCTCTGGTTAGGCCACACCCTCATCTACCTTAAACTCCACCCATTTTGAGTACACATACAGATACACATAATTTAGTTGGTTAAACAGATACAGATAATGGTGTACTCGCTCATCCCTACAGATTACCAAACGTCAGTGAAGGACTTAGGAGAATATCCCGACTCTGAGTCAGTAAACTTTAGCGGCTGAGACAAGGCACAAGTGACTCTTGAGTGACACCACTGGTGCAAACTCTGCATTAATTAATATTGAAAACTTTGCCCTATTGCATTGCCCTAATGAGAGGCCCTCTAAACTACAGTATACTTGTTATTTCACTGAGCATAAGAACATGTGTTTCTATTTATTGTCTTCCTTTGTTCCATTGATAAGTATTAAGAGATTCTGGCATCCATCAATGCTAACTGTGGCTGGTGAATTCATCGTGTTTGAAATGATAGAAAGTTGCTGTTAAACAAGACAACACTCTGTTTACTGCTGGCTCCATTTTAACTGTCACATCGGTATGTCTCAGTGTCAAAATACTTGTTTTCCCACACTATTCCTCCCCAAACAATTTGGGATGCTGTCAGTTGGTGCTAACGACATTGGTATTCCCTGCTATAATTGAGTAAAAATAAAGCCAAACCACAGGCTTTTGCAGCATCCCAGGCATCTGTTAAATAATGACAGATTTGTTCTTAATAAGGTTCATCTATGTATCTGCAGCTATGGCCAGGGGCGTCTATCCTTGGCTTCAACCTTATTCAGTTTCAGCAGATGAGGAGCGAGAGCGCAGGCTGCCGAGATCGCCGGCAGATTACACAGGCCTGTGTCTTTGAAGTGTTCACCGTACGAACCGGGATACATTGTGGAGACGAGGGGGGCTCTGGTGGTGCGTAGTGAGTGTCAGTGAGTGTGTCAGTGTCTGTGGGTGTGTGCATATATGTGTTCCTTTGTGTGCGAGTGTATTTGTGTCAAATAAGACAGAAGCAGAGCTGGAAAGATAGAAAATGTGTGTGTGTGTGTGTGTGTGTGTGTGTGTGTAGAAGAGTAAGAAAGCCTGTGGCTGTAAAGTGAAGTTCAGTGTGAGCACGTGATATGAAACTGAGAACAAATGGTGTTTCATTCAACTCACTGTTAGGTGCTGAAAGAGCCATGCTCTCATAATGTTGGTGGCCACCTTAGGGAAGATCCCTCTCTTCTTGTTGCGTTTCTTCTCTTTATCCGGGTCATCATCATCCCCTGTGCTCGGTGAAGCCACGCTGTTGTCCAGGCCATCACCTGTCACATGACAAGAAACAGGAAGAGACAGCGGAGATCAGACACACAGTTTGTTTACTTCCTGCATTCGCTGCGCCTCTGCGTTCAAAGGGAATAAATACGATTTCGAAGGAATTCTGGAGGGCTTTGTATGCACAGACGGAGGGGTATAGAGACACAACAATGGCAAGCAGAGAATGGCTGGAAAACAGCACCTCATAAATGCATTCATTTTTAATACATTTATAAATAACCCTGCCTTTCATTTTTCTCCCCCCGCCACTTGAAAACACAGTGAGCGCTCGCATCTTTCTGTGAGAAAGAGAGGGAGAAGGGGAGCACAAAGGACTTGTAAGGTCGCATTTCCCCACTCTCCCATCCAAGCCTGCGCAGAATTGAAAATGACAGAGAGATTTAGTCTTTATTATCCTGAGGGGAAAATAGTTATTGAAGCGTCGCCCCGGCGCATTCTGCCATTTTACCTGAGGTGGAAAGAGTAACACGGCACTACAAAAGGGGAGGTTGCGAGGAGGGGGAAGGCAGAAAATAAAAGGAAAATAGGTGGAAAAAAGGGAAGTCAGAGGCACAAACAGCGCTAACAAAGCTAGCTGCTTTTCATAACAATGGCGTCATGGCTGCTTACAGCAACCTGTAGGGCTTCGATAAGGCTCTATTAAGGCCAGTTAACCTCACCTAAGGGGAACACTGAGACAGCTTAGAGTATTTGAGCACTGAGGAAAAGTGAAAGGAAGGCACTCCATGGGCCTTTTCTCTGCATTCAGACTCAACAACATGAACTGACACACACACACACACGTACACACACACACACACACACACACACACACTCTGCACATATTCAAAACTACCCAATTACTGTACGTATTCTATACGGCTCCAGTGGAGAGAAAGAGGCTCTTCCCATCTGTCTGTGAAAAGCCTAATTGTTATTATCATTATTCAAAAATGCGAGCCACCCTCAATGAAGATGATAATCATAAAAGAAACATGAGGCGAGGTAAACAAGTGGCACCCTCACTGCTAGAAATTTCAGCAGCTGATAACTTGACTTTTGTCCCGTGCCGCCTCTGTCGACTGGAAGTGAGGGGAAGGAAAGAAGAAAAAAAAAAAAACAAAAACGCTGAAGCAGTGCACAGAATTGGATCCAGTTATTTATTGATTACACACAAAGCACTTCTAAAGCTTCTAGGTCTATTCACTGCGACGGCAGTAGATAAATGCATTTGAGCAGGCCCACGCTCCGCTAACTTGCAGAGGGCGACACCCAGCACCTAGCTAAACCCTAAGCCCCTGATTCATCGATAATTAATGGGGATGTTGGCGCTAATCCGGTTGGAGATGACTTTTTTCCAGCCTGCCACATCAATGGAATAATCAAGGGCCTAAAACCCAGGCCTTTGCTCCCCATTACCTCGGGCAAAAGAATTCCTGAAAGCATGCCTGGAGGGCACCTGAATTATATACACCATTAGGAGAGAGAGGCTCTCAACGATCCATACGAAACAACACTCTTGGCTAGCTCTCACTCTCTCTCGCCGACTGTTCTGGCAGAAGGAGATACATATGCACACATATTGAAGGCTTTTTAATGAACCTCCTGTGGAAGCGGAGGTGATGGCATGGAGGGTGGGGGAGGGATAAAACAAGAGCTTGATTTTCATAGATACGGATGCAAACACCACCCACTGCACACATCAATAATGCACACATGCATGTGAAGCTGGTGGCAGGGCTGGGCGACTGTAACACCAACGAAAGGTCAAAAGTTGGATTCAGGCGATTCGAGCAAGTCGGCAACCTCTGCTAGTTTACTCCAAGTCACTGCTTAATCGGTTCATCAATTTTTTAGCCTTTTAAAATATCAGAATATTTTGAAAAATGCCAATCACAATCCTCCAGCCTGAGGTGACCTAAACAAACAGCACAGAATCTAAAGAAATTCAGTTTACAAGGATGTAAAACAGAGAAAAAACAGCAAATCATTACATCTGAGAGCGAGAACAAGGGAAACTTTGACACTTTTTCTTCATAAACAATTAATCAATTACTGTTGTCAATGCACTAATCCATTAAATTGACTAACCATTTCACCAAGACATACATACAACCCCCCACAAACACTCAGGACAATGTGCTCCTTACACACAGCTTCTAGACCTCTCTCCGTCTAAAAACACACTCACATTGCAAGCTTCGGTTACATCATTAGCCCGGGACAAACGCAGCCTGAGCTTAACAAGGGAGTTTTTTCTGCCTACTGTTTCAGGGCTAAAATACACCCACCCCTCTCTCTTTCTCTCTTTTCCTCTCTGCATCTCCCTCTGCCTGCTGGAAGAGAGGGGTGAGCCGAGCCGAGGCCCTGTAATCTAAGACCAGATTTTCATTGGAAGCAAATGCTTTCAATCCGTTGTAAAGACCGGTTCATGTTCAGCAAAGCCTACAATAACAAACCTAGGGGCTTGTCCCATGTGAGTTGAGAGAACAGAAGCAAACGGCCAGAGTACCAGCTCAGAGCGTGAGTGAGTGAGTGAATGAGTGTGTAAGTGAGTGTGTGACTGAGTGAGTGAGTGAATATGTGCAAGTAGGAGAGAGTGGCCGCTCAGGCAGGCTCAAGAAGAGGTGAGAAATTGTGAGAAGCATGGAGAGAAGGGGAAAGACAGAGGGGGGAAACAGAAAGGGGACAGAGAAAGCCCAAAGTAAGTCATAAAAGTGTGGATGCTCCGATAAAACGGTCACGAGAAAGTGCATGATTCTGGGCGTGTTGCCTGCATAAGGCTTCTTCTCAAAACTGTATCACGTAGTACTTTATTATACACAGTCTCCCAGAAATAAGTGAAATGGACACGACCTCTTGACAGTGCATTACTTGATGGTGGGCATGAAATGTGTTAATTACATGCTGGCAAACAATGCCAATGCAGAGTCTATAACAAACAGCTGTAGTCTGGTTGTGAAACAGTTGCAATTTGGTTAGATGTAGGGAACAAAAGATGCTTGGTTAAGTTTGAGAAAAGATCGTTGTTTGCAACACATTCTCACTCCGACCTCGTCACATATCGACGTATGGTCATGGACTTTCCACATCCAGATACGACGTGCAAGGTACCCTGGGTGCATTGGTCGTTGACGTTCTGGGACGCTGTGTCAAGTTCTGCCTGTTACATGCATAGTCTACTTTCAAAATACACTTCTGTTTTCATGGGATATTTACCATTTACATAAGGTCTCTTTCAAAATAAACGCACTACGTCAGTACAACACCAGAAATTCTTCCTAACGCACATGGCTGGGTTTAGGAAAAAAGAACAAGGTATGGCTTAATAATCTTACGGGACACGAAAACCACTGTCTTGGGTGTAAGTAAGTGTTTTTTGAACCCATCAACCACCCCTTTCACTCACCCCAGTCGGACTTTTGAAGCCTTAACTTTTGTTTTTGCCCTGCTGCATTTTCCCCTGATGGCACTGAGCTCTGTTAAACTATAACGGCAACCAGTCTCATATCATGCTGACATGAAATGACAGCTTTGTTCGTCAGTGTCTGACGCCACAAACACTGCCCAAGCACCAGATTTCAACGACTTCGGAGTGAGACTGGGTTGTGGTTTCAGTTAATATTACTGGGTACCTATGTAGAGTACTTAGGTGAAAAAATCATGTAACTATACTGACTTTTGGTTTCAGGACACAAACAGCTGTCTCCTGGTTGAAAGTCCACGTTTTTTTGCCCCATCCAGCACCCCTCCAACCCGCCCTACACGGACTTTCTTGTTCTTTATACTTGATATATTTCCATGAGACTGGACTGATAGCACCGTATATGTTATGTGTTTTTAATATGAACCTTTATTGAAGAGGGAAGCATCACTGAAGACAATGATCTGCTTTTCAGGTGCTGTTTCCAGTCCAGTGATCAAACCGGTGACCTTCCAGTCACAAGCCTGCTCAAACCTTTAGGCTGCCACAGCCACATATAGTACAAAATCATACTGCACTATCAGTCATATTTTACAGCACTGCATCGTATTTATTGATATATGGTGAATAAAAAGGTATGCAAGCAGCAACTCCAATCTTTAAGACTCTTAATCATGACCCTATAGAATATAAAATAACCCTAACGATCTCTAGCTAATCAATAATTAATTAATCACATCCTAAAATGATGCATAATGTGAGAGAGGTAGGTTGCATTACATCTCTACCCATATCGTATCTATCTCATATCACTCAACTGTGTGAAAAGAACACAGAAACACTACTTGTGTTGGTGTCCAACATGCACAAAATCTCCTTAAAACAATTGATAAGGAAGCCCAAATTGGATTGATCCTTGTTTCACAGATTTTAAGCAAAGTTTGAACATTTTAGTCACGCATAAGCCAAGCTGAGCCAGACAGGGAAACCCTAACCCCTTTCTTCCCAATACTTTTAAGTAAGTCTGACCTATAGACACTTTCTTTACCTAGGAGGCGAAAAGGAAGGAGGAACGGCAGGAGAAGGGCCGTCAATTTTATTGGCATTTCCATTTTCACTGCAATTTGATACCAATCACCTCTGCAAGGTCTGGGGCTAATTTCTGCTTTGCTTTAACTCCGACCAGCAATGGAAGAGCGGGAGGTGGGAGCGGAGAAAAGAGAAAGACTGTGGGAGTGAGGAAGGTTGAAGCAGGAAAGGTGTTAAAGCTATGTCTGGCAGCCATGTTGGGGGAAATGTCAGTGGTGTTACCTCAGCCTGTGAGAGAGAGGGAAGTAGGGTAAAACAGGAAAAGAAAGCGAATGAGAGATGGTGAAGGAGGGTAAGAGGAGAGGGAGTGGAGGAAGGGAGGTGGAATATTCTGTGAGAGTGGAGAAGATCGGATGAAAAAACTCAAGCCACTGAAGGAGGCAATGAAGGAAGAGAAAATAATGGATAGGAGAGGGCGGAGATGCTGTGTGGCACACTGGAGTTAATCAATTGAAAAAATCAGACGCAGGACAGTCAGTCCGGCCATGTCCACTG